TTAAAATGTCTGTAGTTATTTTAAAGAATTATCACTTTTAAAATTTATCAAAGCTTTCCCTGAAACTGCAAATCATACAAATTACTGAGCAGTGCACATTATTATAATACAGATATAACTGCACTCTTCGCTCTCTGATAATAAAATTCAGCTCGCTTTTTATGCATTATCACAGCTGCGGAGTTTGACACAATACGTGATCATATTAATTCATGTTTAGTGTAGTGTATAGCCACATTTACATACTTGTGTTTTTATACGGGCGGGTATTCTTCACAGGAATGCAAAAGCAGCATTAATGGAACGTAAAAATGCGTGGTATCATTGGAGCTGTAATGTGCAATAACATCTATGCGAAATTGACATTAGGTGTTATTTTGGACATAAACAGACATAGCAATTAATGTATGTGGTGTGTAAGTGAATTAGGTTTTAACGCAGTTCTCAACATTATTTCAGTTATATCACGCGGCCTGTGAGCTTCTTGTGAGTTGAGGATCGGTGGGGTACAATATGTAGAATGTGTGACGCCAGTTTCTGGTATCCCCCGCTGTGATATTGCTGGAATATTACTAAAAGCGGCAAAAAACCATACTCACTCGTTTGATCCAGTAGTCAGCTGTTATAGGCATGGGTAACTCACTCACTCATGTGGAGGAAAGATGAAGTCTCAGTCGTTAGCACTTTGGTGAAACCCTAGAAACACGTTGGTGAAACCTTAGAAATACATTGGTGAAACCCTAGAAAAACATTGATGAAACCCGAGAAATACATTGGTGAAACCCTAGAAAAACATTGGTGAAACCCTAGAAAAACATTGGTGAAACCCTAGAAATACATTGGTCAAACCCTAGAAACACGTTGATGAAACCCTAGAAAAACATGGGTGAAACCCTAAAATACATTGGTGAAAACCTAGAAATACATTGGTCAAACCCTAGAAACAGATTAGAGAAACATAGTGAAACCCTAGAAACACATTGGGGAAAATCTAGAAATACATTGGTCAAACCCTAGAAACAGATTAGTGAAACCCTAGAAACACATTGGTCAAACCCTAGAAACACATTGGTCAAACCCTAGAAACACGTTGGGCAAACCCTAGAAACACATTGGGGAAAACCTAGAAATACATTGGTCAACTCCCCTAGAAACAGCAAACTTTATTCTGTGTAGAAACACATTGTACAAAACCTAGAAATACATTGGTCAAACCCTAGAAACACGTTGGGCAAACCCTAGAAACACATTGGGGAAAACCTAGAAATACATTGGTCAAACCCTAGAAACAGATTAGTGAAACCCTAGAAACACGTTGGTCAAACCCTAGAAACACATTGGTCAAACCCTAGAAACACGTTGGTCAAACCCTAGAAACAGATTAGTGAAACCCTAGAAACACATTTAGAAAACCCTACAAACAGAATCGGGGAGAACAAGGATTCGTAGTGTAATCTTTGGTTTCCGATATGGCCAATAGTGCTGCAAGGATCACCCCTTTATAAGCATTAGTGCCATCTACCTCTTCATTTCCGAAGAGATGCTAATGACTCAAAATAAGCTTTTTAAAGTCAAGGCTTTCTTTGTTCCAATCATAGTGAGTGAGTGAGTGTGGTTTTACGCTGCTTTTAGCAATATCCCAGGTATTTTTAGTTTACTAATGCTAACGGTGGTACATCTACACGGCGAGTACATGTGTATACATACGTAATTCAGGTCACGTAAAACAGCTGAAAGGAATTAGACATGCGCACCAGGCATGTGGACACGAATATGGAATTATCACAATACTTTGTTCATGGGAATTATAGCGTGTTTTAGAATGCATGGATTGTGTTTATACCAATGAAGGCGATCGATATTGTGATTCATTATTAACTGTAACAACGAATGTGCTTCACGAATAACACAGTTATACATGGGGTGTTAATCTACTAGTGGTGTTCCAATTAGTTGAAATAATCGAAGATTGGTCGCAGTGACCAAACGATCAAGCAATCGATCACATTTTCTCATAATCGAACACAAACGATTTGGGAACTGCTATTTTAGTGTTTGAAACACTTGACGATGGAACATGTCTTAGAAGTTGTCAGGGCCTGAAAACGTGTTTAATTCTTAGAAAACTCACTTCACTAACTGAAAAGTCATGACTGAATATTTCTTGAAGACTCCAGGAAGTTTATGTTCATGATATATTAGTCATCACTTTAATGTAGGAAGTTGCATCATGTTATACACATCTACAATAACAACCTTGACAGGAAAATCTGAAAAATGACGCTAACCAATTTTTTTCGATGATTGTTCGTTGGTAATGAAGCAATCATCAATTGTGAGATTTCAACCAATTCCCAACACTATAATCCACTGACGTAAATTCAGCTCTAATACCCGGTGTTATCTCTGAGGTACGGTGTCTTGTTAAGTTGTGGTTTTGCCGTTTTCTATCGATGAATTTAGTTGATCGTTTTGAATGATTACGCTATAAACTATCGTACAACCCCGAGAGGTTCGGAGTGAGAGAGAGAAAGAGGGTGTGGTGGTGGGGTGTGTGTGTGTGTGTGTGTGTGTGTGTGTGTGTGTGTGTGTGTGTGGGGTGTGTGTGTGTGTGTGTGTGTGTGTGTCAGGGTCACCACCCGTCCTGCAGTCTCCATTAAGTCACCACAAGCCTATTGAACCACGCATTCTCTGTAATTACGGGTAGCTTGTGTTCTCATCATTAACACGAACCAGTTTTTGTGTAACCAACTTACACATACGAGCTCGTATATATACCATCGTTACCTGATACCCCCAGTACAGCCAATTCGGCCAGACTCAATTCGAGGAGAATAGATCAATCTAAAGCCAGTTTACTTTTAGGGTAGTGTAATTTGATTAAAGTATAAATGTCTAAAACCCTTCACCGAAGAAAAGAAATAACTTTTAACGTAATTTTAATGGTAGTGGTTATTGGAGCAATAATGGTAAACTTGACGTAGACTATAGGCTTTAGTGATGTTGAACGGGTCTGTTTGACCCCGGCATTAGTCGAGCCAACATGTATTGAAGACTACTGGAGGCTAAAGGCCTGTGTCCACACAGAGGCTAACTCGGTGGGTAAATATGCATGTGACGGACACTGGATTTACTAAAACTGTTATTAAAGGGAACCAATTTCAAATATTGATCGTCTTTACATGGACTGTGTGCTGGCTTGAATCGGACAGGGGAGCCTCAAAATGAGCAAAGTGAGTGAGTGAGTTTAGTTGTACTCCTCACTCAGCAATATTCCAGCTATATGGCAGCGGTCTGTAAATAATCGGATCTGGACCACACAATCCAGTGATTAACAGCATGAGCATCGATCTGCTCAATTGGGAACCGATGACATGTGTCAACCAAGTCAGCAAGCCTGACCACCCTATCCCGTTAGTCGCCTCTTACGAAAAGCATGGGTTACTGAAGATCAATATTCTAACCCAGACCTTCACGGGTCTAAAATGAGCATAGATAATGTAATGTGAAAAGATTGGTAAAAGCGGTGACCAGGGATTTTATAACTAATTCCTTTGAGTGAGTGAGTTAGTTTTGCGACTAACAGGATCGGGTGGTCAGGCTCGCTGACTTGGTTGACACATGTCATCGGTTCCCAATTGTGCAGATCGATGCTCATGTTGTTGATCACTGGATTGTCTGGTCTAGACAGACTGCCGCCATATAGCTGGAATATTGCTGAGTGCGGCGTAAAACTAAAATCACTCACTGCTCATTTTAAAGTGAAACGGGATGTTTTCTGAGGAGTATGGGTCCACTCGCCCAGGCGAAAGTCCGGATTCAATTCCCCACGTGGGAAGTTGTACATGTCGGGGCACAAACCAATACTCGCCCATTAATCGATACAAGACTGACCATGTTGTCTTCATGCTTTCAGAGTTGCGTCCCTTATGGTACAAGGATCCGCTGAGAATTGATTTCGGTTGTGAGTGAGTGGGTTTGGTTTTTAGCAATATTCCAGTATATCACGGCGGGGACAGCAGAAATGGGCTTCACACATTGCACCCATGTGGAGAATCGAACCCGGGTCTTCGACGTGACGAGTGAACGTTTTGACCACTAGGCTACCTCGCCGCCTCGCATTGGGTCGAATGTCAGATACGCGTTGTTCGTGGTTTTCACTAGAAAGATAAACGCTTAAGACATGCGTTACTGTTCGAAGTCCCCCAACAACAAGCCGACACACTGTGATATTGCCCTTTGCCTCAATCCTCCAATCAAAACAAGGAAAATGAGGTTTACTCCCAGACGGGATTGACATGCAAGAATGACGACAAGATTGTGGAAATTAATAGAGGTTTTTACAGTGCAATCTTCACAAACAAACAGACAGGTAGGACACAATAACTCTAAGATGCCAACATGAAGTCAGCATGATACAACAAAGATAAGTTAAATAGCATCAGTCATGGATAGAAAAATTCCTTAATCATGAAAGGGCGTTTGTTTTTTTTAAGTCAGACGTCAACAATATTTACAACCTGTTTGTTTGTTGGTAAGGTAGCTCTGTAATGACACATCATTACATGACTGTGAATTTTAAAATATACAAAGATAGGGATGTTGGTCTATAAGAATTCGCTCGGATGGAACGCAGTCAGAGCGTGTCTATGTTATAAGAAGCATTATTATGATTAAGGGTTTAAGCATATGGGGCATTTTCTATCACATGGCCTTTGATGTCGTTTGGTATTTGATATCTTCGAGCGTCTCTTTACTTATTTCAAATTCGTGAGCATTGATGTCTGATCAAGCGAAATGACGAAATTACACAACGATTATCAGGTGAATGTTCCTTAAGCACCGAATGTTCATTTTCAAACATATTGAACAATGAATATCAATATTTGCGTGTCGAAAGAAAATTACAAATGTTTACGAACATGTTTACAACCAACATTAGATGATGTAGCTGTCAGGGTTGTGCTGCCCTCTTAATAGGCTGTTAGAAGACGTGTGCCTGCCCGCCTAACTGGGTCTATCGAATCGTGGACCGTGTGCTTGGCTTAGACATAAGGCTGTTAGCGTTCGGTTGGATATCTCCGTTGATTTCGCTAACCCAACGATCATATGTTCCACTGCTCTACAATCAATTGTTGGCCGCTATCGGCTAGATGCATGGTACATGTGTATTTGTCGTGATAAACTGACAGACATGCTCATAATCTGTGACGTCAGAAAGAAAGGGGCGGAGTTAGCAGTGACCGTAAGCCAATGAGAGATCTCCCGACTAGGACACTCGTATCGCCTTGGAATATCTACTGACTGCCTTTACACTACGGCCTATGCATGAAAACTACCGATAGGGTGTACACAAGTTTTCGTGGTGTTTGTGGATAACTGTACGGAGACAAGGCTAGCTCGGGATTTTGTGGTCGGCTAGATGAGTGTCGACTGATGGTGAACTTGAACACGATGTCGCGAGTGAAAGGATTACCGTGTGTTTTTACCTGTGTTTTATTGCTGATCGCGTTGGCACGTGTGTCCGAGTCATATGACTATGCAAAGAGGATATGTGCCCGATTGCCCATTCACACTACCGAGCTGATATCATCCGGGAATAATGGATTTAAGATAACTATCGAAAGTGACACCGAATCGGACATCACGAAATATCGACCAGGTGAACAGTACACAGGTAAGTTCAATCCCTCAACAAATTATACACTTTTTTGGCACTTCTGAAGAACCTGGTTGTAGACTGTCTTGAAGACTGTTTACTTCTCGCGCCACTACAATCACAGGTAGCAGACGACAATTTTCACACAGTTTCAGAATCACGCACAACATTGCCCCGAGAAATCCACTTAATACAGTGTCGAGGAATTTGAATATTTTCTTAACAGCAAAGTGGCCTTCAGTTTGCCAATGAATAGATAAGCGTAAACTCAAAAACGTGTTAGCTCGCCATTTTTTGCAGCTTTATCGGAAGTGGGACACGCTCTCGTCCACATACTATAAATTCAACCACACATCATACACAGTGTTAGTTTATGTTATGATATTAACGTGCTGTTCTGCCCGGCCAATCGATAAGTCTGCTATAGAAGAGTACAATTATGTATGTTAATTAAAACTATTTAGTATACCTATGTTCATAGAACATATTCAGTTAAATATAATGCCAGGTTGGTCGCCAGTAAAAAATGAAAACAGATCTTCCTAACGATACAAATGTTCGATTTTAATATAAATATTTTTTGAATAGAATCACAAAAGTGAAATTAAATTACATACAGCCGAGCCATCGTTCCGTTAATGCACTGAAGTGCCTGTATTGGATTGTGCATGAATTGTGTCAGCTTTGACATGACACGTGACTAGTACGGTGTATTGTTGTCAGTCTGTGATACACAGGCAACCACAGGCATGTGTAGTCAGTACCGACTCTCGGTAGCGTTTCCCGTAGCACACATTCCCCCTGCATTACTTTGCACAAAACAACCCCGCTATACAGGAAGGACTACGTGTAGGCGATATACGCAACGTGGCTTAAAAGAAAAGTTTTGTTTCATGTTTGAGCAAGTGCCATCGAATATTCTCTGAAAATAGCAGGGTTATTGTTTACTATACGTTAGAGCTGCTTTAGGAATGGGTGGTATAGACCCCATGTAGCAGTATAGACTTGACTTGATACTAGTGTTTATACAGTATAAAGTATAGATGGGAGGGTGTATTACATTGACGATGGTTGTCTGTTGTTTTCGTGGTGACAACAACTTACTTGTATTGTACGATTAGTTTCACGTCATTAAATGCCTTTCTTCTGGTGAATATAATCGTCGCCGTTGAAACGGATGAGTACATTTGGCAAATATCAAGAATTCTGGTGTCCTTGTAGAAATATGTTCTAACCCCCCAGTAGGACATTCTAGTGACCTGTGGAAGTTATACTAGTGATACACCGTGAACAAGACACAGGAGCCGAATCTCATTGTAATAGTATTGATGTTAATGCTGAATACAAGCTGACTTATTGCTTGTGGCTCTTACATTTCATTGCTAAATTGTATATATAATGGAAACGTATTAATTAATCTATATACCCCGAAGCGTTTTAGGTCAAATTATAAAGTCATAAAGTCAAAGGATTGAAGTGACACGGGGACAGCGAAATAAATTTCATAAAACGAATTTCATATTGCTTGTGAAAGATAGTTGTAGAGTAATGCTAGGGACATGTTTGTAGTTTACACTGCGATTAGCGTGTGATCTGGATTCTCGGTGAATACCGTGAGGTCTTGAGTAACACAGCTCAAGTTACATTTAACGACGAGGTTAATTTGAGACGAGATTGTTTCCTTTCTGAATGGTTAATAATGGTAATACATTTTGTACTTTTGAAAACAACGATTTTTCGTTATGTATGCTTATGGAAAGAAATAACGCAACCTTTTTGAGAAGACTTACGTATTAGGAAGGACATTTGCAGTACGATTCAATCAAAGCCGCACATATACAATAGGTGATGTGTTTATAACAACAGCAACACACAAGGTTGCTGATTTCACGTGTTGCTTTATTTCTGACCTTCAGTATATACATGCTTGATATCAAACTCTGTTCCTGACCTGTGGATGACATAAACGACAGCAGCGCTGTGACCGTTGGGTGTGACGCGCCGTGTGTTGTGATCAGTATGTTGTGTGATGTTGTGGCGCTCCAACACATACACGTCGGGCTATTTACATGTCTATCATTAATATCTTTTCAAAGAGCGCTGGCTTGTTTTCGGGCTGGTGGTTAAAGTAAATGCACATATGTTGCAGTCACGCGTCAGATCTCAAATTCAATATTTTAACAAACATTTCGCCTTTTTTCTCCACTAGCCATTGTGTCATACAAATTTTCATAAACATCACGCAATTTCGTTTTCCGGTAAAGAACTTCAGGAAATTGATGAAATCGTGTAGGCATTTGGGTGCACCTTTAGTAGACAAACGGGCGGTGGGGTAGCCTAATGGTTAAAGCGTTGGCTCGTCACGCCGAAGACCCGGGTTCGAATCCCCACATGGGTACAATGTGTGAAGCCCATTTCTGGTGTCCCCCGCCGTGATATTGCTGGAATATTGCTAAAAGCGGCGTAAAACCAAACTCAGTCAGTAGTAGACAAACGCTTAGTCTCTGAATATATATTATGAGAGTGACCAAATAATCCCATTTAAACTGAAAGGGATTCCCAGTCAGAGGGGAGATTCAGAACCCGAGGAAATCTTGACTTGATTAATTAAGGGCTTTAGCATTGTAGAGATGGTAGGCGGAAGGGAAAATAATGTGGTACAGGGACTGTGAGACCGACTATACGTTTGGTGTTGCTATGCCAGCTTTTGTACACAGAATGAGTAAAGTGGTTCATTTACACCTTGTATAAACAGCTGATTCAGAAGCATCTATCTTGGATTTATCTCTGTCAGGAATCTCAGTGACATCACAGTATAATCACTATTCCGCTTGAGTAACCCTCAAATGTTAATCAATACCTTTGTAATCCCAGTCTCTGCTCACTGGGTTCTCATATGGCGGCGTTTAGAGGGTCTCTCGGGAGCTGACAGATGGACTCTGGAGGGGTTCATCAGGCCTTACCATGCTTATCACTTATTGAGGATCGTGAGCGGGGAGGATAACGCACACACGTTATGTAATCATAGTGGTGATACGTCCAGACAGTCTAATTGGACTGCATCACTGAGTAGGGTTTATGACGATTGAGCTGTCCTCACTAATAATGCAAGGGACAATTGTCACGTACTCGAGCCCATTAAATCAGATTCTTTACTCTGGATTGATATCTATGGGTATCAAATCTGATCTGTATTCCTTGGGTGGGGAGGTATCAAATCTGATCCGTATTCCTCTGGTAAGTAGAGGTATCAAATCCGATCCGTATTCCTCTGGTAAGTAGAGGTATCAAATCTGATCCGTATTCCTCTGGTAAGTAGAGGTATCAAATCTGATCCGTATTCCTCTGGTAAGTAGAGGTATCAAATCTGATCCGTATTCCTCTGGTAAGTAGAGGTATCAAATCTGATCCGTATTCCTCTGGTAAGTAGAGGTATCAAGTCTGATCTGTATTCCTTGGGTGGGGAGGTATATAAATCCGATCTGTATCCCTCTGGTGCGTAGAGGTATCAGATCTCAATTGTATTCCTCGTGTGAGGAGGTATCAAATCCGTATTCCTCTGGTGGGAACTATCAAACCTGATCTGTATTTCTCTGGTGGGGAACTATCAAATCTGATCTGTATTCCTTGGGTGGGGAGGTATCAAAATCCGTATTCCTCTGATCCGTATTCCCTCTGGAAGTAGAGGGAACTATTCCTCTGGTCAAATCTGATCTGTATTCCTCTGGTTCCGTGGGAGGTATCAAATCCGATCCTGTATGGTGCGTAGAAATCAGATCTCAATTGTATTCCTCGTGTGAGGAAGTATCCAATCCGTATTCCTCTGGGGAACTATCAAATCCGATCCTGGTGGGGTATTCCTCTGGGTCGTAGATGTATCAAATCCGATCCGTATTCCTCTGGGTCGTAGAGGTATCAAATCCGATCCGTATTCCTCTGGTCCGTAGAGGTATCAAATCAGAGCAAATGATCTGAGAGGGTTTTTTTATGAAATCGTTAACAACCCGAACAAACAGATAGAACTAGCAAGAATTCTTATTTCTCGAACGCTTAACTCGTTTGGTTATTTCACTGCCTTTTACAATGAGCCAGCAAAAATACATTAAACGAGGGGGTATAACCCTGTAACGCTCAGTGGATGCACGTGAGTAGATGTATCCCGTTCCATGGGCTTGGCAACATTGATGTGTGGTTGTACATCACCGATGTGTCTTCGTTCTCCGCTTTTTATGGCAATAAGAAGGCTATTTGCTTTATGGCTAGATGATACTAGATGAATGGAGACTAAAATGTTTACCGCGTTAGCCGACAATAACACAGGCATGGGGATATATTGAAGGGCTGGTATATCATCTATTATGCAGTGTACATTATCGCCATTCTTTCATGACAAATACCACAGATCTATTCACTACAACATCTTTTAGTCCGATTCTACGGACGATGCTGGGAATTATTTAAAGTGCCCCTCAGATGTTTACTGTACGCAAGTATGGCGATATTAAAGGCACCCAATAACATATTGTTTACTCTACACTGCAAGGTGATATGTCGAAGAATCCTTGTACGGTACAGTTTACTATACGAATGTATAATGCCCCATTAAAGGCACCCAGTAAGATGCCGTTTTCTCTATTAACGCATAGTTATATGCTAATATAGAGCAACTAGTCTGATACTGTTTATGATGCATTAAAGCATCAGTAACATATTGTTTACTCTACACGTGCAAGGTGATGTGTTAGAGACAGCTTGTACGATACAGTTTACTATAGGAACGCATAATGATTTAAAGGCACCTAGTGAGAAAAGTTTTTCTACACACGCATAGTGATATGATAATTTAAGACACCTGGTCAGTCACTGTTTACTCTTCACAAGCATGACAATATATTAAATCATCCAGTAAGATACCGTTTACTATACACAAGAATATTTTGAAGGGACTTTCAGCTGAGTAAGCTGAAATAGACCACGCTCTGTAACATATCTATGGCTGTGGACGTGTGCCTAAAACA